AACTTTGTGCAATACTTCTAACTAAAATTTAAGAGGTGTGAAACGAATTCTAAAAAGTATACCATCTTATCCTCATGTACAGTCACCTCCAATTGTTTATGTTCATTGTGAAACAGTTAAGTTTCATAGAAAAAGTGAAGGATTATGTTGTTTCAATGATAAAATTTGTTTGAAAATAAACAACGTACCTGAGAGTTGCACACAATGTTTACATCAAATTCTAAAAATTGTCTAATTTTTTTAGAGCATTTTGCGAAGTTATAACTGTAATTTTTCCTATGACATCATTTGGTATACACTACACTACACTACACTACATCAATGTACATATAGAAAACATAAATGCTTTTACATATTTAGAATTCAAGGTGAAGTTAATCATTTTGTAAATGAAATAGTATTTCTATTTCTCTTATACGAGGCACTTAGGGTTCACTACTTATTTTTGTAACCTTCCTTTTCACACTCGAAGCGTTCATCTGCTATTCACTGACTGTTTTTTTTACTATTGATTAAATATCTCTTTTATATTTATTAACTGATTTTTCACACTTGAAGAGTTCATCTACTATTCATTAATAGTTGTTAAGGGCTAAAATCTCACATCCAATAAAGACGAAAACATAGACCAACTTATAAGGTCTTGATCTATTCCTCTTAATAAGGTTGACCTTTTAAGATAGAATCTCAAGTTTGAATATGGTATTAGAGCATATTAACCTCTAATAAACAATTCGATCCGATTAAGACTAAAAAAATAAGCACGAGAATTTTAAGTTTGGTTTGCTAAAAAAATGAGCGACCATCTTATGTGGGCATGTTAAGGGATAAAATCTCAAATCGAATAAAGATGAAAATATAGACAAATTTATAAGGTCTTGGGCTATTTATTTTAATGAGGTTAACCTTTTAAGATGAAACCGCAATCTTAACAATAGTGTGCTCCAAAGTTTCATCTTTTCCAAATAATGCAATTTAGCCCCTTCAATTGTCTTCTTCAATGCAATTAAAGCCCTTCAATTTTCAAATTGTGGAATTTGATCCTCTAACTTTCACCGACGGCCAGTTGATCATTCTTTCATTTGCAATTGTGTCAAAACAGGTCTAACACCCCGATCGATAAGCAGGTGAATTTTGAATTGCTCCTTACTACATAAATCCATTGGTGATCGAGTGCATTCTTTTGCATTCTTCATCAAACATGCCATTTTTTTTCGTTGGTTCGCATTTTTTCTCCAAATTCTTCATCAAACATAAAATTTTACCTACAAAATGTAATATAACATAAATTAGATAGAATTTTATTCAAATGACAATAAAATATCATCATTCAGAGCCTTGAATAAGTGTAGAAACTACGCTTATCACCAATTGACAAATATAATGCAGTAGTGGAATGCATTTATAAAAGTTCGTTTCTTGATAAATGTCCATGCCATTTTTGAATTAAATAGAACAATTGGAAATCATAATTTGTGAAAAATTAAATTGAAATTTGGATTGAATCATAGCTTAGTCCAATTCTGAAGCCCAATTTATGCCACCAAATGCAGGAGCCAAAACAAATATCTTCAATGTTAAAGGAGAATGGAGTCAGATATCTGTAGAGTTTACTTTTTTTTTTTTTCATTTTTCTTCAATGTTTTCAAGGTGGAAATCTGATTTTAGGTTACCAGCATGTCGGCTGATCATATCAAACGCTTCAGTGATGCAGCTGGTGGCCTTCAAGAATGCGGTAAATGTGATAATACTCTGTATTCCACCTTATTAAAAAAATTAACGTGGTTATTTATAGATGTTAGATTTTTCATCAAGATTGTTCTTTTCATCTTCCATAGTTGTTTTTGGTCTTCTTTTTGTCTTTTTTTTCCTTCGGTGGGGAGGGATGAGAAGGGATGGGTGAAGTGGCTTTGGATTTTCAGCATGGAGCTTATATCTCTACCTCTTCTAGAAAGAGAAGCTCTTCTTAGGGTTTTCATAAAAGAATCTCCTGCATCTCTTTATGTTCCACACATTTCCTATTGTTCCCTCTCCTCAATCAAGTCATAATACCTTGTGTCTTTTCTCATTACCAACTTCTTCCCTACTACGAGGATTTCCTCCTTCGAAATGAATTTTTTGTAGTGTACATTAATGTGTTGTCAATGTTTCAAAGTACTTCTAGAATAATATTTGGTGTGTTCTTTACGTATTAACTACGACTTGTTTTGAAATTTGGTGTCGAGTGCTCGATGCCAACAACTAAAGGAAATAGTTACATAAATACTTGTCTCGGGTTGGGATTTCATTTCTTTTCTTTGGGAAGTATTGAGTCCATCAAACTACTAGATTAAGGTATCCGCTTATAGTCATGACACAAGCATTTCTTCAGCATACTGATTCTCGAAGCAAAGGTTGAGTCTTCGGGTATTGATTTGTTTTACCTGTTTGAAAGCAAGAGATTTTAACATTGAGAAGATCATCCAGATGTGGGAAGAAATGCTTAACTGAAATTTTTAGTGGTCAGTTTGGCGTTCATATGCTCATTCTCTCGGATGAGAAATCATCTAGGCTTCGGAAAGGCGAAGGCGGAAGATTTGTTTGAAGACACAGTTAAAGCTGTACCGCTCTTTGTCTGTATGTGATTCCAATAATCTAGTTGTGTTTATTTTCGAATTGTTTGGAAATGTTAAATCCCAGTTTCAACATTTTAATGGAGCTCAAACGGGTCATAAAAATCCCTTTTTGAATAAAATATTGCTTTCCTATCTCTTATATATAAGATGCGCACAAGAAGAAATACCTCTCGCAAAGTATATGAGAACCTACACGAGACAACTAATTCCGGTCCAACATTTATCAGTAAAAGTAGGGATATAAATGAGCTAGCCGAGCCGGCATGCGAGCTGAAGATTACAACTCGAGTGCGACCAGGAGAAAATGGCTAACTTTTTTGGCCTGACCTGAGACAAAGCTTGATCAAAAAATTGAGACAAGGCTCGAGCCTTACCGAGCCAACTTGGTTTTTTTTCTTTTCGAAATTTAAGATAGGTCGCAAGCAGTAAGCCTAATGGCAGGCAGCCACCTGCCTGAACCTGAAGCAGGCAGCCGCCAGATGCCTGCAACGCTTTTAGGTTGCCTGCTTGCTTCAAGCAAGCAATCGGGAGCCTTGGCTCGGTTCCATCAAGCCACAAGCTGAGCTAATTCGAACTTTTTAGGGGTTGAGCCGCAGGCCGCTCAAGCCAGATTGACAACCCTAAGTAAAAGTGACAAATTGAAACAAGAGCCTTGAATTTCACATTCTCAAGCATCATGAAAGATGAAGTTCATGAAAGATGAAGTTAAATTGTCGAGGAAGGATAGTGATGACAAAGTGCAGCAAATATCCCATTACACCAAATCATTCAACTTGATGAGGCAAAAAACAAAACAGGAGGAATGTTAAGATACTGGATCGGCATTGTGCCATCCCTTGGTGCACGGTGGTATGCTCATGAACTCATCAAATTCTTTAACATGAACGTCACAGCATTTCCACTGCAATGTTAACAAGGGAAAGAATAAAGAAACGCAAGCTTCAGCTGATGAGAAGAAACAGAGTAATGAAGAAACTGTATCAAAGAAAAAACCATATAAGACGTATAAATTCTCACCCCTCGAACCCGGTCGTGGAAAACAGCTGGACCAGGATGGTAACTGCATGCAGCATCATGATTATCCTTCTCTTTAAAAGTTTTACCACATCCCTTATTTCTACAAGTTTGAGGCTCGTTTATATCGACAATCTTCTTTACTGGGGGTGGTTGGGTGTCCAGCGAATCTGGACTACTTTCAGAATGTGCTCCTATCACAGTATTAGACTCTGTTGGATTCAATTCTCTCGCTTGTGAACCTGAAAAGGGAGAAAAGGCCAAAAAGAACATCAAGATTCAGGTTAAGGCTCCAATAAGAATATCCACCACAATTAGTAAAACGTAATGGAAGCTTCCAACCATGTGTGGATTTCACATTATTTTTTAACTGAACCGTACTTACTTTCTCGAATGCCTTGGCAGCAGCAAATTCTTAACAAAATAATTTACCCTCAGAACTCAAAAAGTAAAATTAGAATTCAAATGGTATACCATGATCAGAACAGAAAAATCCTTGTTGACACCTCAAACAGGCATCCTTCGACAATGAATTGGTCGCAGGAGTTGGTGCCGAAACCAGTTGCTTAGGAGGTGCAGCTGCCTTTGCCAGCACGGGTTTCTCAGTTGTGTGCTTTCCTGTCTTACAACTTCAGTTAAAAAGAAGAATAAGCATTTATTGATATATAAGTAGATAATTACAAGATGTAACATAAATTACATTCACTAAAAAATAAAATGGTTTACCATCTTCCTTAAGGGTAAAATTCTGCCAAACCAGTCTTTGGGCTTGTTTGGCATGACTTTTGAAAAGCCAAAAGGAGCTTTTGAGGCCTAAAAGCAGCTTTGGGACCCGTTTGACTAATTTTATGAAAAGAGTTTTTAGAGGAAGCAGGTTTAATATGGCTTCCTCTCAACGCACTTTTAGAATAGGAAATGTTTTTAAAAATTAGTTTTCAAACAAAAACTAATATGACTTTTAAAAATTAGTTTTCAAACAAAAATTAATGTGACTTCTTCCAAAAGCTCTTCTACAGAAAACAAAAGTAAGCTAAATTGGCTCTTTATTTTATGGAGTTTAAATAAGGGATTATTGAAACACAATGAACATAACTGGAAAAAACCAAGAATCCCTCTCTGAAAGTTTTAGGACTTAGGAGTAATTTGAAAAACAAATAGGTAAATCTATTACGAATATAGGTATCAGTCAATGCCAAATACCCTTCTGAGAAACTCCTAAGTACTAACACCAAAATATCTACTGCACGGGGGCCTTCACTATCTTCAAAGAAAAGTATCTAATGGGGGTGCACCCAAATGCTGTAACAGCTAGAACATTTTTGCACACAGAATCACAAGTCAAGAAGGGTAAAAATTATATCATGATTGTCTGTACTATCAAAAGTTGACCTCGAGATTTCAGTAACAGTGTACAATAGAAAGTTCAAGCTTGGAATACCCTGGAATTTCGAGAAACAAACTGAAATCATGACTTCTTTTCTTGCAACAACTCCATTCTTTCATTCCATCATGAAATAATGGCTGCAAACAAAGCAGAATTTCACTATTAAGTTTTTGAAATATTAGAAATTCTATAATAAAACAGAAGATACGTCACTTACACCCTGAAGAAGTGAATTCAGCAGCAGGATCCGCGCCAATGCATGAGAAGTATAAATAAATTAGCAACATTACAAAAATAATAGAAATAATAACAATTGGGATGAAAATGGGGAGTCACACAATAGCCACACTATTATTTAGTATTTACTAATGACATTTGGTGTGGTACAATGTGGTGTGTCAAACAATAATTAAATCCCTCAGGGTAATATATATCAGCACTTAATCTGCAATATATAGCAAAAACCCATTTAAGGATCAACCAAGACTTTCTCCAAGAAATTGATGGTATAGCTATCTGAAAATCTTCCATGATAGTTCTTATTTGTGCTGTTATTGTGACATCTTGCATCAAAATTAAGTAAATGCAAAGACATATGATTCACCCACTCCTCTTTAACTTGTTTTGCTTCAGGCACTAATTGTTGGACTGTTAAAGATAAAAAATCCATAAGTTGAACACCACATAAATGAGGATGCTAAAATAGATGTGTGGACTAGAATGGATAAAAGAAAATGAGAATATACGGCTACAGGTGGAGGTACTATTGACAGAGGACAGATTAAGGGAAGGAAAACTGAGAAGGTTAAAACATGTCTTGTGTGGACCTAAAAAATCTTCCATTCTTAGTAGTAATGTATTAGGAGTAGGATAACATGGCTTATAATGGATGGTAATTTTTTGTTGCTTCAAAATTTCAACTTCCAATAGATGCATGAACAAGGTGACAAGAATGGATTCTTGTAGCCCAACCCAAATTTTTGGGAACAGGGGTTCGTTTGTTGTGGTATTACCACTAACTTGTCACCCATAATAGAGTTCTAAAGTAGCCATCATTCTTATGACCC